AAAGGAAATGAACAGACACTTCACCAAAGAAGACATTCAAATGGCCAACAGACACATGAGGAAATGCTCGCGATCACTAGCCATTCGAGAAATGCAAATTAAAACCACAATGAGATACCATCTCACCCCGGCATAGAGTAAATATTCTTTATCATGCTAAAGGTAAACTATATTTTGTAAGACTATCAAGAATGAGTATCAAAATTTACCAAATATGTTTAAAATATCATGATTTTTCTGCTCTTCTATATTTATGAAATGATTTATATTGAGTTTTTGTAATTTTTATTCTAAGCTTGCTATATTTTGGCTCCTAAAGTTCTAAGAATTTAACACTTATCGTCACAAGTATGATTAACCTAGAATTTTCTTTATTCTATTGTCTTTGTCAGACTTTACAATCCAGATAAATTATTTGCTTCATACAGTTAGGAAAACAAGACTTGATATTTTGTCTATAATTCTATATTTAGAAAATATTAGGTAAATAATAGATGATCTTTGCATATCTGAAAAATAGTCCAGTAAAAGTCAGGACTAGGTCCTTTTCTTTTATGGGAGCTCTTAGATGAATTTTTTTCTATTCAAGTTTCATTGTCTGATTGTGCCAGTTTGGGCCCCTCCGCATTTTTGTTAAAGTCATTTATTTAATTTAGGTTTTCCAGTTTATTAAAGCAAGGTCGTATATTATCTTTCTTAACAATATTTTGCTATTCTTTCTGTTGGTTGATGTAACTCCTTTTAAGTTTCCAATTTTATTCATTTTAAATGACTACCCCAATGGTTTGCCAGGTTTGTTGTTATGCTTGAAGAATCAACTAAGCTTTTTCTTGGCGCTTCAAATTATTTTAACAATTTCTAGTTTATTTTCTTTTTAGGTTGAAGTTTTCTGTTTTCTCCTTTTCTAACATATTTAAAAATATTTAGACATAATTCCTTATAATCCTCATTTTCATACTTGCTAATATAAGCAGTTAGATTTCTGAATTTTCCTCTGTTTTCTTTTTAGGTGTTATCCCAGAATGATCAGGTTAACGTCTATTTTGATAACACTATAACACTCACTAACATTCAGCTTGCAATTAAGCTATGGAAATTATGACAAAAAATTTTTTCAGATTGCTAAATTATTAGTTGAAAATGTAGAGAAATATAAAGATAATAACAAAAAGTACCTATAATCCCTCACCCTTGAGATAAACACCCCTAAATCAGAAATAAGGAGCCCTGGAGGCTCAGTGGTTAACAGCTTGGCTGCTAACAAAAAAGTCAGTAGTTCAAATCCACCTAGGAAACCCTATGGGGCAGTTCTACTCTGTCCTATAAGGTCACTATGAGTCAGAATGGACTCGAGGGCAATGGGTTTTGGATTTTTGGCGGTGCAATGGTTAAGCACTTGGCCGCTAACAGAAAGAGAGAAAAGACCTGACTATCTGCTCTTATAATGCCTTCGGGGTCATTCCGACTCATAGCAACCTTAGGGGACAAGGTAGAACTGCCCCATGGGCAGTGGGTTTGGTTTGTTTGTTTTTAATCTTTAGGGAAGTAGATTGCTAAGTCTTTCTCACACTGATCCCCTGGGTTTCAACGCCTATCTTTTGGTTAGCAGCCAAGTACTTAACCATTGTGCGACCAGGGCTTCCGCCTGTAAAGATCATAACCTATGAAACCCTATGGGGCAGTTCTGCTCTCTCCTATAAGGTCACTATGAGTTGGCGTTGACTTGAGAGCACACAATAGCAACAACAACAACTGCAAACTGTGAACTCTGTGAGTCTATTATGTTTTCTGAAACCCACACAATTGACATCAGGCAGGCAGCCCAGAATGCCAACTGAATGATGAAGTTGGTGTGAAAATAAAAATTAGGCAAGTTTGAATCTAATGAGGATTTTTAGAGTTGACTATATCATCATTCAATGACACTGTCTCTGTCTCTGAAAATCTTCAAGTACCAAACACCTGAATTACACAGACTTTAAAGAATACACAAATTTATATTACTTTAGGACTTAGAACCCCTCAGCATTTCCCTGCCTCACATACCTGGATTTTTCAACCTTGAGAGCTGTATTCTTAAAATCAGTCTTTTCTGCAGAGGTTATGTCATCCATCTCTTCATGTACATTTGCCTCATTTTTTTCTGGAGTTAAGGTAGTTTGGAAATGTCTTTCACCTTCAAAAGTCAGCGTTACGTTTGAGATGGTGACATGTTTGGAGGGTCCTTTGGGCTCATTCTTAGTTTTTATATCTCGTAGACACCCAGTCCTCAGAATGTTTTCATCTTTTGCCTTTGAAAACAATAAGCAACAGCAAATTGGGTATTAGAAGAGCATCCTACGGAAATAGATTATTTATGCAGTGTTTAATAAAGTGATCACTCATTTCATTCACATGTGCTGAGTGCCCAAAGGTGTGTAGGTGCAATAATGATGGAGGGAGGCTTGGGCGTGGGGACCACTAGGAAGAGCAGAGGCTGGTGTTGGAAGGCGGCTCTCAGGTTGGGGCTGGGAGGCCTGTCCTACTGCTGCCTGACACAACGCACTTAAAATCTCATGTTGTTTCTGGAGCCATTGAGGCTGGATGAACACCTGAAACTACTGCCCTGAGATAATTTTTAAACCTTAAAGTTCAAAACAAAACTTTTTCCAGAAGTCAGCTTTGAACCAAGTAACAGTTTAACCTAATTAGTACAGGATGTCTGCCTTCAGCATTGTGCTCTCTCAAAGATTTATCTATGCAGAATCAAACTGACACAACTCATCTCGAAAGGTTAGATGAGAAGCTTAGGGGTCAGTGACTTTACATTAATTGTGGTGGAATAGTTTGGAAAAGAATAGCACTTGCTCTTCCTCAGTGTTGTACATTTAGGTTGTTTCTGTGTTTCCATTATTTCATTATTATAAACATGGTACAATTAACATCTTTGTAGCTAAATGCTCTGTCTTATTTCTGATTAAGTCCTCAGGAAAGATTGCTAGAAGTACAATCACTGAGTCAGAGGGTATTAACATTTTTAAGATTCTTGATTCATTATAATTTCAAGAACGTTTGTACCAATTCTCACCCCTACCAGGAATGTACGTGAGTTCCAAGTTCACCATACCTTTACTAATGTTGAATTTTTTTAAATTAGCAGTGTCATAGATTAATTTTTTTCTAAATACACATTTCTTTGGTTACTAGTGAGTTTAAACATTGTTTTACTATACTTACTGTTTCTTCTTCTGTGAAATACTTATCCTTAGCTTTCACCATTTTTCTACTGTGGCCCTACTGGAGGTTTTTCAGCAGTAGTCTTCAAACTGACCTCTTTAACTACAATCCATCCTGCCATCAGATCAATCTTTTACACATACAGCTCTTCATGCCCTTACACAGAAGCCTTTGGTGGCTAAGGCTTGCCCAAAGAGTGAAGTCCAAACTTCTTAATTTGGCATTCAAGGGTTGCAAGTAACTTCCTAATCCTGCATTCTAATATTCTCCATATATGTTATGCTCCAGCCTAACTGAATTAACCATTCTTAGATATGGCTCTGTGTTTTTTTTACTTTCTGGCCTTTTCTAAAGCTACTCACTTCTTTCAGTTTTTTATTTTCCTCCTTCCAACCTCGTCTTTACCTACATAAATTTCATTTCATCCTTCAAGGTACTGGGTCTTTTTATATACATTTAAATCTTAAAATAACTCTTGCATCATATTAATATTCTCCTTTTAGAGACAAGGAAACTGAGCCTCATGTAAGTCCAGTGACTAGTCTAAAGTCACTCAACTAACGTGCAGCAGAGTAAGATTCTACCTGGGCCTTCTAACTTAGATTCCAGCATCTCTTCCACCAGACCATGACTTCCTGATACTGGGTAAAATCTGATGGCAAGAACGGTCACTGCCTATCTCAGGACATCTTCTAACAACTTTATACTAGGTTCCCAGGGATCAAATCTCATTATTAAAATTAGGTCAGTTAGAGGAGGCAATCTGGTAATCAATGTCAGTCAGCTAACCAAGGAGAGTGAACTTGGTTGTCATTCTTGTTCTTGATTATTAAAGAATGAAAGTCCAAACATCAGAAGCAACCAAGATGTCCTTCCGTAGGTGAATGGATAAACAAACTGTGGCACATCCATACAATAGAGTATTATTCAGCAGTAAAAAGAAATGAGCTATTAAGCCACAAGAAAACATGGAGGAACTTCAAATGCAAACTGCTAAGAAGCCAGTGTGAAAAAGCTACATACTGTGATTCCAACTATATGTCATTCTAGAAAAGGCAAAAATATAGAGACAGTGAAAAGATCAGTGGTTGCCAGGGACTCCGGGGGAGGAGGAGAGGGATGAATAGGTGGAGCACAGGGCATTGTTAGGGCAATGCAAATATTCTATATGATATTGGAATGTTGGACACATGACAATAAGCATTTGTAAAACCCCATAAGACTGTACAACAAAAAGAATGAACCCCAATGTAAACTATGAACTTTGGTTAATAATAACATTATCCATATTAGCTCGTCAATTGTATCAAATGTACCACAGGAATGCAATATGTTAATAATAGGGGAAACTGTGTGCAGGGGAGACAGGGCATATAGGGGTGTATATGGGAACTCTGTACTTTCTGCGTAATTTTCTGCAAACCTAAAACTGCGCTAAAAAATAATATATATTATATATAGAATGAAAATCTTCCACATCACTTACCTTTTCCTCCTCCTTGGCCCTTAGTATGTCCTCGTTTTCAAACACCACTGTGACCTCTGACCTGTTTGCGTCATCAGCTATGTCTATGACTTCTGTGACTTCCGTGACGATTCTTACATCTGGGGTCTCTGTAATCTCATTTTCTGGAACATCTGTGACATCAGTGACGTCGGTGACGTCTGTGAATTCTGAGAAATCCACACTATCCATGGCACATGTGGGGTCTGTGCATGGATGCACGTAGGGGGTCTGCAAAGCCATGAATGCTGCAATATCCATGATGTCCACAGAGCCTGTGATTTCTGTGCTGTTTGTGATTTCTGAGAGGCTTGAGACTTCTGATACTTTGGAAGTTTTGTTTTTCTCCTGATTTAAGAGGGCAATGAGTTCCACCCATTGACAAAACAGGGCTTCCTGTTTATATGCGGGGGCGCAGAGCTGTAGGTAGTAGGCTCGACCACTCACCAGCTTTACTTTGAGGCACATATTCTTAGCATCATGCACAGAAAGAGTCACAAATTGCAGAGGAAGAAATCTGCAAACAAAGGCAAATGTAACATCATCTGGAGGTCTAATTGTAATAACACCCTTCATTTTATACTTTGTAGCAGTTTGAAGAATGAGACTTATGACCACAGGCTTTTCTCCTAAACAGGTCTGAGTGGAGGAAGGCATGAGTGGGGCAGTACCTTACTGTGGTCTCCATGTTCCCAGGTCTAGTTCTTAGCTTTTGAGGCTCTGGACTTGGATTTTTAGTACACTGAGAGATAATCAGGCTCCTGTGGGCCATGTCATCTTAATCATACTCCTAAGACCCCAATGTACTAAAAAATTAGAATGTCATAGCTAAATAATGGATTGGCCCACAAAATAAAGAACATCACCCATGAGTACTGTGCTCTTTTTAAACAATCATCTATACGAGATCAAATGGTCAACACTTACTTTAAAACAAAGATGAGAAGGTAAAGGGGAAGGGAAGATAGATTAATGGAAACCGAACAACCAGAAAGGCAATAATGAGAATGTTCGTGCATTGTGTAGAATGCAACCAATGTCACTGAGCAATTTGCATAGAAATTGATGAATGGGAACTAAGCTGCCGTATAAACCCTCACAGAAAACACAATAAAGTATCACTGAAAAAAAAATTCCATGTCAACTGTTATGGATTGAATTACATCTCCCCAGAAAGATATGTTGAAGTCCTAACACCTGGTACCTGTGAATGTGCCTCTGTTTGGAAATAGGGTATTTGAAGATGTCATCAGTTAGGTTAACACAAGGTCATACTGGAGTAGGGTGGGTTCTAATCTTATATGACCCCGTCCTTATAAAAAAGGGAGAAGATGCACAGAAACACAGAGAGGAAGAACGCAGCCGCAAGCCAAGGAATGCCTGGAGCTACCAGAGCTGGGATAGATTCTCCCTAAAAGCCCCAGAAAGAGTCAACATAGCTGATACCCTGATCTCAGACTCTCAGACTCCAGAACTGTGAGATAATAAATTTCTATTTAAATAAGCCACCCAGTTTGTGGTATTTTCTTATGCTGCCCTAGGAAATGAATACATCAACTATTTACCATGAAAAATGATCCTATTTAGTTAATCCTACAAAGTTGATGCTTAGAGTAGGGATTTGCTCAAGATTATACAGCAAATTCTTGGAAGAAAGACCCAGTGATCTGCTTTCAAAAAAATCAGTCACTGCAAACTGTAGGGAACACAATTCTTCTCTGACACACACGGGTGGCTGTGAGGTGGAATCGACTCAAAAGCAGCAGTTTTTGTTTGTTTTTATACAGCAGGTAAGTTGACTGAGAAGACCAGAGCTAATTCTGACGGAAGGTGAGGATTGGAGCAGGGTGAGGGGCATGTTCTAGGGAGGTAGTTTACTATAGGCTTCGCTTCCTGTTATTTAAATTTAATTTTGAAAAAATTAACCACCTGTTTGACCACCAGTTTGTGTAAACGTTTCCCCCAATTTTAAGGATGCAACTCTTTTGTCATTCGCAACAGGGATTGCAAGCAGTGGGTTGCTCCTTTGGAGAAATTGTCAGAGTTTTCATTTTCAGCTCCTAGGGGAGGGGAGATAAAACACGTTTTGTGTAAGATTCTTAACCTTGTTCTTTTGTAACTCACCTGGTGAGCACCAGTTTCTCTGTGGAAGGAGATGTCAGGAGACTTTCAAACGTGGGTTCTGTATCTTTCTGGGCAGTGGGTGTCAGATGTGCCAGGAGCATTACGTTGGGGATCTTCTGGGTGTGACTGGAAGAACAGATGCCTACGGTCACCCAGTTGGCTCGGTTATGAAGGTAAATGGATTCGCCTCTCCTGTTGACCTGAATGCAGAGAACGGGAAGAAGAGTTTTCTGGTCAAGTACATGGTCTCGACAACCAGAGCAGTGTAAGGGAGGAGAGGAAATAGAGGAGAAATGAATCACAATGCATTTGTTCTTTCACTTGTTCATATTACTTCTTAGAGGTACCACAGTGAACAGACAGGCACAGTCCCTGGCCCATGGGGTTCTACCAAGGAAGGCAAACATTAGACAATTAAGTACATATATATATGTATACTTTTTATTTACTTACATATCATACAATTCACTCAGTGTACAATTCAATGGTTTTCATTACATGCAGAGTTATACAGCCATTGACACAATCAATGTTAGAACACTTCTATCACACCAAAAAGAAACTTCAATTGCATCATCTCCATTTCCCCCCAACCTCCCCATCAGCCTTAAGCAACCACTAATCTATTTTCTGCCTCTATAGATTTGCCATCTTCCGGACATTGCTCATGAATGGAACCATACAATATGTGGCTTTTTGTGTCTTGCTTCTTTCACTGGGCATAATGTTTTCAAGGTTCATTCATGCTGCAGCATATATCAATCAATACTTATTCCTTTTTATGGCCGATTAATATTTCATTGTATGGATATATCACATTTCATTTATCCATTCGTCAGTTGACGGCCATTTGGGTTGTTTCCATTTTTTGGCTATTCTGAATAAAGTGGCTATAAACATTTGTGTACATGTTTTCGTGTGGACATATATTTTCATTTCTCTTGAGTATATACCTAGGAGTAGAATTTCTGGGTCATATGGTAAACGTGTTTAACCTTTCAAGGAACTGTCAGATTGTTTGACAATTAAGTACTTAAGTATGATTTGAGAAGTGTTACCGAGTCCAAGTTCAGGGCGCTATGGGAGCGCATAACAGGGGACTTGACTTAGCTTAGACTGGGGATGAGTGTTGGTGAACGTTTAACAACTGGTTCTCAAAAAACATATACATACACACACACATATTCCAGTTTATTATAAATTTTACTGATATAAAAGATGAGAAGCACAAGTAGTAAGATACAATAGTCTTTATTTTAAATGCCATATAGCCAACTTATTCTCACAGAAGTCCTTACTGACTTTTGCCAAACTCTTACGCCTGTAACCTCAAAAGCATAAATGTTAATATTAGTAAAATAATAGAAATAATGAGTTTTTAGTATTTACTGCCTTTGTTTTGAAGATAATTTATTTATCAGTGTATGTAATCTAATTTTTATAATGGTTGTGTTTAATGACAGAGCAACTTTGCAGACTTCCTGAACACTTAACTATCAGCCAGCTCCATCCAGCACTCCCTAGAAATAGGGTCCCAGAAGTCTCCCCCGAGGAAGGGACTTCAAGCTGAGACCTGAACAATGAGGGAGAGAAACTAGCTGTATAGGGAGGAGAGTTTTCCAGGCAGAGGAACCAAAATCAAACCAAACCTGCTGCCGTAAAGTTGATTACAATTCATAGCAACCCTACAGGACAGAGTAGAACTGCCCCATAGGGTTTCCGAGGATCACCTGGTGGATTCGAACTGCTGAACTTTTGGTTAGCAGCTGTAGCTCTTAACTGCTACACCTCCAGGGTTTCCAAAACTCTAAAGCCCAAGAATCTTGGCCAGTAAAATCTCTGCCAGTTGGCAGAAGAGGAAACTGGAAAGTGGATAGATAGGGATGTGAAGGAAGCCAGGAAGGGGTTACGCTTGGTTTCTCGGCCATACAATAACTGGTTCAATTGAAAAATGAATCACTTAACAACCACTACGTTCAGAAAGAGGTTGTTGCACAATGTTGATTACCTGCCGAATGACATGGCCTTCTTCTTCCTGATTAACAGAATCCTGATTTTGTCCACTATCCACCCTCAAGGATGGTGACCCAGCTCAGGGGTAAATCCTGATTAACCTAAATCAGTCATGGTGATCCCAACCCCCTTGCTAGCGATTGCTGTCAGCAGGGGCATGTGACCCAGGCCTGGCCAGTGAGACACAGAGCAGACCTCCTGGTGGCTTCTGGGAAAGGCTTCCCAGGCCTCACAAAGAGACACAAGGATGAGACATATGTTTTCTGTTGCTGGCAACTATCATTGTCTGGTCTGGATGTGATGTTGGGAGGGGAGCTAGCTTGAGGATCACAGAACTGAAAAAGAGAACTCGAGTCCTTAATAACTCCCTGGGAGTGGGCTGATACCCCGTAGCTTTTTCACTGTATGTGAGTTAACTGGTTTTCCTTTTCATTTAGGTCTGTTGGAAACCCTGGTGGTATAGTGGCTAAGAGCTATGGCTGCTAACCAAAAGGTCAGCAGTTCAAATCCAGCAGGCCCTCCTTGGAAACTTTATGGGGCAGTTCTAGTCCATCCTATAGGGTAGCTATGAGTTGGAATTGACTTGACAGCAACAGGTTTGGTTTTTTTTTTTGGCTTAGGTCTGTTGAGTCAGGAATCTTGTTAGCTTGGTGCCAAAGACATGTAACTGAGAGGGGTTGTGTATCTTGAAGGGAACAACTTATCAAATTATGATACGGAGCCATGCCCAGTCTGCAGACTCTTAACTACCTCCCTGGGTGTAGTGCAAGCACCATGTAATTTCATTAGAGTGCAAAAGGTAATTTGAAAAGGGTACAAGGAGAAATGTGAAAAAATAAAACAATTACCAGCAGGAATGAAGTATGAAGAAAGTAAACCACAGCAAGTCAGGACTTATTACATGTGTTCTGGGGGCATCCCCTGAACATCCGATGTTTTTCGAGGCTTTACTTCTGCTGATGGCACACTGGAGGTGATGAGGTCTTGCTAGTAACCAGGTATCAGTGTAGAGAACATGTTTATGGAAGATGAATTTTCCTTACTTTTTGAAGAAGTGTCTGATGTCCTTCCTGCCCCGTCTCTACAGAATCAGCTGAGTAGCTAGCTGCTTAAATGTATTGGAGTTAGAAGTAATAGCTTAGTGTTTAGTGTTAGGCTTTGATGTGGCATTTGTATGGAATTTGGGAGTGTACCCTATACCATTTAACTCATTTCCTCATTTCTTGTCTGAACATTTTAATGCTGAATGCTTAGAGGAAAGCTAGAACTGCTCCCACCTGCATTGAAACATACATTCTTCTGACAAGGAGACTTTTCTCCACAACACTATTTGACAATTATATTTTCCCTTGAGTCAAAATTCAGTTTAATCCCTAGTTATGTCACAGATTTTATTCTTTAAAATGTCTTTTAAATCTATGAAAGCAATTACCTGAATGGTTTCCTGTGGCAGGATATTCTAAAAATCACTGTAATCCCTTCATGTAATTTTGGAAGATTATGATAGAATGATAGATTATTATGGTAGCATTAGGACAGAATTTCTTGATAAGGGTTTGGTGAGAAAATTTGAAACAAAGTAATTAGACTTTAACAGTATGATTATTTTTGATTGTTTAAGGCTCCAAAACTATTCCCTTTAATTGTACCACACATTCCCTTGCCATATTTAAAACAATTCTCCCCTCAAACTTTTCAGCTGTCTTTGAGAAAATTAATTACTATGGTTCTGGGAAATCAACTCAGAGTTTGAGTGTTATTTACCTGGATAAAAGTGCTCTCTAACATGGGAGGAGATACGAAAGGGGGATACTCTCCTCCATCCAACATATTTTGAAGATCCCCTGGATCCTGGGACTGTGGGATGTAGAGGTCACCTGGCTCATCCGTTTTCGTGGTAGACATCCTGTTGTTCTTCTTCATTGTGCTTACAGACGAACATAGAAAATTGAGAGAAAGGAAATACGATTACTGGATATAGAGAGAATTTAACGGAATAATTGAATTGCCTCATTCGTTCATTCAATGAATTTTATCAACACACATGATATCCCAGGCACTATACCTGGCACTGGAGATACAGCTAAACAGGAGTGATAAGATTCCTGCCCTCATGCAGCTTATTCTCTATTGGGAAGATAGATTGTTGTTAGTTGCCGTCAAGTCAGTTCCGACTCATGGCAGCCCCATGTGTGCAGAGTAGAACTACTCCGTAAGGTTTTCAAGGCTGTGACCTTTGAGAACCAGATCACTAGGCCTTTCTTCTGAGGAGCCTTTGGGTGGGTTCAAACCGCCAATCTTTTGCCTAGTAGTCAAGTGCTTAATCATTTGCACCATCCAGATTAGGAAAGCAAAGGAAAAAAAAGATGTTGGATGATAAGGGATATAAAGACTAAAATAGATAAATGTATCAAAAACTGACTGGAGTGTAGGGCTGGCAACACTAAATATGGTGATTAGGAAAGGCCTTTGGGAAGTCTCCCAACATATGCTCCCTGGTCTCCCCAAACCATTATTTTCTTCTTTCTAATCAACGGTAGGAGTCCTGGTGGTGCAGTGGTTAAAGTGCTCGGATGTTAACAAAAGGTCAGCGGTTGGAACCTACCAGCAGTTCCACGGGAGAAAGATGCGGCAATCTGCCTCCATAAAGATTTACAGCCTTGGAAACCCTGTGGGGCAGTTCTGCTCCGTCCTACAGGGTCCCTGTGAGTCAGAATCCACTTGATGGCAATGGGTTTTTTGGGTTTTAATTAACGGTGCTACCAGCCTTTCCACCACGCAGGGTTCTCAAATCCTTTTTTGTAATTAGGTAGGGTATCAAAACTATACTAAACTGAGAGCACTTCTTTCAGACCATTCACCCATGACCGAGCCTTAGGTCTTGGCTGGGAGGCAAATACCTCTCATTGACGACAGTCATTCATCCCCTGCTCTCTCATTTAGCTCTCCCTCTGGAAACCACTTCAACTGAGGGCAATGGCGCTGCTTCACAGGATTTTACCTTTCATCTACCAGAAAACGACAAAATTCTAAGAAGGGAGCAAGGTCCCAGATGCAGTTCTGCTCATAAGTTCACAAGATCACCCTCTCTTCTTCACTAACTCCAAACCAGTTAGAGGTAGGGGACTTAACTGGCAAGAGATAGCTCTTGTATGTCTACGTCCATATCAGTCCTTCCTCAGAGACTCTGTTGTTTGGTCTTCCTTGGAGATTTTTCTCCCTAGCTCAACTAAAGGTAAGTGGTGAAAATGCCTCATTGCTATCCGAGACAGGGCTGGAGAATGCAGAAACCACGCTGCGCTGTCTGACACCCTGTGAGCATGTAGTGCTGGGGCCTGGAGAGCCGTGAGAATTCCAACTTGAGCAAAACCATCCGCATTAAACCTTCTGCAGGTGTCAACCCAGTGACTTCCTTCAGCACATCTCAGGCACATACAAAAGGGAAAGTAAAATGAGTCAAGAAGAGAAGGAAGGGGAAATAATCCAAGAAGCTAAAATGTAAAAAAGGAGTGAGACAATAAGAAAGAACATTCAGAATAAAAGATGAGATAAAAAAAGAAAGAAAACAACAACCTAAAATAGAGGATGGAAAATAACAATCAATAACATTTATTTAATGCTTGTTTTGTGACAGGCAGTAAAGACTTTACATGCACTGTCTCATTTAATTCTGATAACATGATGCAGTAGGCACTATTAAGATGCTGGCTTTAGAGACCATGCAATTTAGGCTTAGAGAGAGGGAAAGTAACTTACCCAAGGTCACATAAGTCCCCAACGCAGGGTTCAGACACTTAAAGTCTGACTAGAGGAGTTTATGCTATATCGTATCGTTCAATTCTGCCTTGAGTGCTTGCCTAGATAGGTGTAAGAGTCGGCAAAAGTAAGAGGGGTCAGGATAGGCCAAGATGGATGGGAAACAGGGGAAGGAAAGGGAGCAAAAGAATACCAAAAGTGCCCTTCTCCTTCCTCTTCCTATTTTCTTCCCTGCCTGAACACTTCAGTCCTACTAAAGGTGGGAAACAGAGAAGTAGGAATCTGTGCTGGGAGCCACAGCTCCGAACCGAAGGAAGGTAAGAGGGCATGTATTGCTGGGGAAGAGGAGACGCAGCCCAGTTTAAGGAATCAGCGTCCAACAGAGTGAGGAGGGAGTCTGCGCTGTAGAGAGGATGGTGGAAGGGTTGTGAGATTGGTTACATACATGGGGATTGATTAAATGAAATTGGAACTATGAGAATCTATGGAGCCCCTGGGTGGTGCAAACAGTAACGCTTGGCTGCTATCTAAAAGGTTGGAGGTTCAAGTCCACCCAGAGATGCCTTGAAAGAAAGACCTGGCAATCTACTTCAGAAAACTCAGCCACTGAAAATCCTGTGGAGCACAGTTCTACTCTGACACACAGGGGGTTGCCATGAGTTGGAACCAACTCAGTGACAACTGGTTGGTTGGTTGGATGAGAATCTATACTGATATAAATACAGGAATTAAAAGCTTGATAAGGAATAGAATATTTACATAGTTTCAAAGTACTCCCACCAGGCAGATGCTATCTTAACGAAGTGATAAAAGTGAACATCACCAGTAATGGGACAGATCAAAATCGGGCACCCCCTGATAGGATGCAATGAGAAGCACACTGCATCTCTTCTGTGGCATTCCTCCCAAAGATGCATGCCATGAATCCAATCAAGAGGAAACGGAACCAAACTGAAGGACGTTTTACAAAGTAACCAGCCTGTGAACTTAAAAAAAAATCAATGTCTTAAAAGTTAGACAGACTGAGGAACTGTTCCAAACTGAAGAAAACTACAGAGACATGAACAACTGAATGCAACACAGAGTTCTGAACTGGATCCTTTTACTCCATAAGCCATTATTGGGACAACTGACAAAATTTGAAAGAGGTCTCCCAATTAGACGGTAGTAATATGCAATGTTCATTTGCTGATTTTGATGGCTATATATTGGTTATGTAGGAGAATGTCCTTGATTATAGGGAACACAAATGACAGTATTTGAGGATAACAGGTCGTCCAATTAGTAAATTACTCTCAAAAGATTCAGGAATAAAGTTTTTGTATTGTATGTGCAGCTTTTCTGTAAGTTTGAGATTGTTTCAAAAAAAATTATTGGGAATAGTATTACAAAGAAAGAGGGGGTAAAAGAAAGTTTAGAGGAAAAATACAGAGGAAGGGAAATAGGGTCTGAGTTTAGAAACTGAGTGGAAAAGCTGTATTTAGCCACTTCAGGTTTTCAGGGAGGGAGCTTTAAAACAACAATGGAAGAATTCTCATGGTGATTGGAAGATTAGAAAAAAAGCACAAAATGGCATCATTGTCATCTGTTTTTCTTGCCTCAGTAACTTATCTAGTCGGACAAGGCATTTATTTTACCATCCGTTGGTGGCTGAGAGACAATGAGGCTGCCTTATAGAATCAGAGGACACAGCAAGTGCTCAAAAGGTCAATTGAATTCTTTGGGGCCTAAATATATGTGGTCTTCCTAGGATAGGAGAAGAAATGATTAGAAAATCATTAGATGAGAGCAAGGTGTGATATAGGAAGGAAAGCAAAGGTCAGCAACCTTTTGGCTCAGGGTTACAGAGCAGGACTAAGCAATGTCACAGTAACTGTTCACCCTTAATTTTTCGGTACAGCTATATCCCTTTCAGTTCACATCCTCCTCTTGAGATCTAGAAAAGCTGATCACTGTAGGCAGCATCCTTAGTACACTGAGTTCCTGGGAGAAAGGAAGAAGAAAGCTTGGAAAGTGAATTAAATAGAAGAGGAAGGGAGAGAGAAAAGACGACAGAAAAAGGGAAGGAGAAGGTGTAAAGACGTATGGCCCGTATGTACAATCAATTCTTACCTCAATACAGGGCCAAGCCACAATCCGTTCTTGAAGATGAAGTTTTTAACTCACTTCAGTTTGGGCTTCCTCCTTTTCATGATGAAGTCTTTTGTGAAAGAAACATAAAAATAGAAAGTGAAGAGTATAGGAAAGAAGCTCATTTCAATATTAATTTTTACTCTTTTCCTATTTCAAATGTGAAGCACCTGCCTGAGAAATAGTTCCTCTTTCAACTAAACTAGGTGGGTGAAATATAGTTAGAGGGCTGCTGTGTATGATTGAGCTGAGCTGTTGTCAATGATCCTAATCATGTCTTTTGGTGAGTGAAACCAGACAAATAGTCATGAGTTCATAGGTCATAAACAAACAAACAAAAAACCAAAACAACCAAACCCGTTGGCTGTCGAGTTAATTCCGACTCATGGCAACCTCATGTGTTACAGAGTAGAACTGCTCCATAGGGTTTTCTTGGCTGTAATCTTTACAGAAGGAAATCACTAGGCCTTTCTTCTATGGTGCTGTTGGGTGGATTTGAACCGCCAACCTTTAGGTTAGTAAACAAGCACAAACCATTTGCATCACCCAGGGACATTCCATAGATCATAGCTGGCCTAAAACTGTCAAACAGTGAATTCCTGGGCTCCTCTAGCCAATGAGGGTATTTGATAATGTGACACAGGAAGTAAAATAGACTCAAGTATCCTGTGTGCAATGGAGGGTCCTAATAAGCCTGAGAATTATTTTCTGTCCATAAAAAGCTAGAGTAGTCTATACAACTCTCTAACTTCCTAGCTGATGGGAGGAAGGTGTATATACGTATATGCTTATACATGCATATGCTTACTATTTCATCACTTTTATATAAAGTTCTCACAGCATAATGCGGTTGCAGTCACTGTAGACAATCGCCTTTTCCCCTCCATAAAATTCTGAGCTAAATAGTCCCTTCAGGAATATCTCGGCCAGGTGAACAACTAATCATTGTTGTCAGAACTCAAATGCCAGGCCAGTAATGGGACTGGAATAGTGGCAACATAATGGACTTGAAGTCAGACACATCCAGGTTCATATTTAGGTTCTTTCACCTGCTACTTTTGTGACCTTGGGCAATTCAGTCAACA